ACGTGCGACACGAGGTCGTGCATTGCCCTGGTGAAAAAGTGGATCTTGCAATGTTTCCAAAAATAATCTCAATAATGGAATACGTATTATGTCAAGCCTGCTTTTTATTCATTCCATAAAATAAGTATTGCACGCTTTGTAGCTATAAGACTGAAGTTGATTGGTACTCATCCTATTTTTAATTGTTAATAATTTCAATTAATAAACAATCAAATGAAAAGTAAGGTCAGAAAACTAACATCGTAGTAGATATAGTAGAAAATATTTTAAAGATTTATGAAGTTTCACAGAGGGTAAAACCCTGAAAGTTCGGAATCGGAATCTAAGCTACTACTTAAACTTAAATCGTCACTATCGCTATCTTCGTCAAGGTTTATTATTATTTGATCCACAACTAAGTTTAGTGCCGGTTGCATTTCCATATGCTGCTTCTCGAAACATCGATATTTCCATTCTTCTGTGGGATGAGACGAGAAAAAGTCGTCGCAAAGTTTGTCGACAGTCTTGAGATTAAAATCTACATTTCTCTCAGCCGCGTATTGTTTCAAAGATGCCCATACCAACTCAGTTGGGTTCAAGACGGGGTGATATGGTGGCAATCTTAAAACAGAATGACCTTTTTCAGCCATTACTCTGTCTATTTCATAAGTTATATATGCATTTTGATAAGGCTATACAAACCAATTTTCAACTGATGCTGAATCTCTGGTTACTCCATAAGAAGTCTTCTATTAGTTCTTGCCTTCCTCCAACGAAATCCCATTGTCCTGACCACTTTCCTTAAAGTTTCATGTGATCCAGTGTAATTGTGTTCTTGAACACATTTCCTGTGTATGCGCCGCAAAGTTGGAACCTTCTTTTCCGTTATGTGGAAATTCATTATAGATCGACGAAGCAATCCTCTATCGAAGTCGTCGAAATCAGATTCCGGAGTGGCTCTTCGTCTTTTTTTGTTTGGTTTCGAAAAAGATTTCATTTCGCGAGAAATCCTCGTAATAGTCGATAGACTAAGGGCCTCCGCACACGCATCGTAAGCGTAGTCGTTTCGTAATCGTATCGTTATGACGCAACGCCGAGGAGACCTGCAGTGTTCCACACACGAATCGTATCGTTTTGTTAGATCTCAGTTGAAATCATGGCATCAACGGTACCAGATGTTTATAGTGCACCCATTGTTGATCTAACATTTTCTTCAGACAAAGATAATTTTTTATTGTTTGATTGTGTTAGAAAGAAGAAAGATTGTTTGTTGCTGTACGTGGACGTGGAAAAATCGCATCTCTTCCTACACTTGACGAGCTGTACATGCATCAATTTCATTATCCCGAATTTCAGTTCCAAAGCAGATACATTAAGGAAAATCCCGAATTTCAGTTCGCTTACTTTGCCTGTTCAAAGATAAAAGTGAGAAGTACAGTATAATGCGATGCGATATGTGATTCATCTTTTCTCTCAAGTACACAGCATGCTGATGTAATTGGTGTGATGGGGAGAATTGATTATGCAGTGAACAGTTTTAACCGCCAATTACTCATAGAACAGTAACTAATTGAACTGGATCTTCTATCGGTGTTGTCGATTGAAGGACTTTTCATCAAGGTTAGATATACAGGGTGGCACATCCATATATTTATGGGATGTTAAACCTGTCATTTGAGAGCACATTTCTGAAATATTGGCCATTATACAGGGTGTCCCAATTTCGACCTACATATCAAAGTTGTGATTTTTTAAATGGAATGCATTTGCATACAGCAATTCAGAAGCAACCCCTCAGTCCGCCATTTTGAAATGTGGAGTGCTGAATTTTGTATCAAAAAAAAACTTACAGGCCTCAGCCTTTATCTTATTTGTTACTTTTTCGAATTTCAATTTTTGCTCATACAGGGTGGTCAAAAACGCAATTTGTAATTTTCTCAAAAATTTCACTGGACTTTCTATGGGGCTACGTTAAGCAAGAGATTTATAGATATTTTATTTTATTTTATTTTATTTTATTTTATTCATTACAACACCCTACAGTAAATACCAATTACAGGATGAGGAAACACAGAACATAACACAGATATAAAAGACAATAATAAGTAATAAGTAATAGACTACAAAGTGTAAAAGATACATGCTGGTTACTTAATAGTATTTTTTATGTCTGCAATTCTGCAGTTAAATATATCAATCCTGTTACTTGCAGAATTGTAATTCCTACACATCACATGTAAAGGGGAATAGTGTAAATAATTTGTCCGTGCCGCAGGTAGATAAAACGTAACGTTTTGTCGGGATGTCAGCCTAGGTACGTTAAATGATAACTGACCCAATAAAGCTAAATCATCACTAGCATTATTGATCAACTTAAATAGAAAAATCACTGACTGGCAAGTGCGCCTTGCTTCAAGACTGCTGATTAGATGTTTTTCAAGTAAGGAATCATGAGGTATACCTATGGGCGGGTAAACGCCATCCACTTTCAGTGACAAATATTTTAAGAAACGTCTTTGAACACATTCAAGCCTACTTATATGAATAATATGATGCGGATTCCAAATTAGCAATGCATACTCAAGCTTCGACCTAACATATGCATAATACAGCAACTTCAAGGTGGTACTCTGAGTGAAGTCACGGCAGTTTCTTACAATAAAGCCGTACATGCGGTTTGCCTCGGAAATTTTGCTGTCAATGTGTTTGACGAATGTTAGTTGGGAGTCAAATGTCACGCCTAAGTCACATAAAGTTGAAGTCCTCTGAATAGAGCTACCTGACAGGGTATAGTCAAATAACAGAGGATTTTTCTTCAAAGTGTAAGACATTACGTAACATTTATTGATGTTTAATGACAGATTGTTTTGTGAGCACCAAGCATCCAACCTGACCAGATTTTCTAAAAGTTGATCACAGTCTGATTCATCAACTACACGACAAAACATCTTCAGATCATCAGCGTAAAGTAAACAATTCTCGCCAACAGCATTGACTATGTCATTCACAAGTATGACGAACAATAAAGGCCCTAGGTTACTGCCTTGTGGCACTCCGGAATTGGCTACATACTTCGACGATCTGATGCCATTAAACATCACAAATTGATTTCTTCCAGTGAGGTAGGACTTAAATAGTTGTATTAAAGGATCAGATAATCCATGAGATTTCAGCTTATGCAATAGCATCCTGTGATCAACTCTGTCGAAAGCCTTGGAGAAGTCTGTGTAGACCACATCTGTTTGTAATCCTCTGTCAATGTTTTCTGCTATGGTCTGTGTGAAGTTCATCAGATTTGATACTGTTGAGCGCCCTTTCATGAAACCATGTTGTTGAACACATATTTTTCTGCTGACATGATGATATATCTCTAGAGCTTTTGAAAAATTGCACAATATTGATATAGGTCTAAAATTTGATACATCATTCCTACTGCCGTTTTTGTGTATTGGACATACTTTAGACAACTTCCATAGTTCTGGAATTGTGCAGGTGGTAAGGCACAAGTTGAATAAAACGGTCAAAGGACACGCCAACACAGAGGCACAGTCACGCAAAATAAAAGCTGGTACATTATCCGGTCCGGTAGTCATCTTAGGTTTTATTTGCTTCAAGGCTAAGACAACTTCATCCTCCTCAAATCTAGTAATATTGAGTGGTTGTTCATTGCTCATTAAAAAGTCATCAGTTTCTTCGGTGGCTGACGAAGACGAGTAGTATTTGGAAAAGTTATCCGCAAAAGCATTTAAAATGTCGTTCGGTTCCAAAAGTTCATTACCATTGTAAATCATCCTACTTGATAAGTTTGTTGATTTTCGCTTAGAATTTAAGAAGCCCCAAAATTTATTCGAATCTCTTTGTATTTCGTTCTCAGCTTGTCTGACATATATTTTGTATGCTTCATCTGACTCTATCCTAATTTTTGATCTAAGTTCCCTGAATGTCTGATACGTTTTAGGATCATTGTTGCGTCTATAAGATCGGTGAATCTTCTCCTTGCGTTTGATAAGCTTAATTATTGCTGAATTGAACCAGGGTGGGTATTTACGTTTCGTTGCTCGGGCATATTTTGGAACACAGGTATCAAAAGCATTGTACAGTTTATTATAAAAGAACTCACACGCTTCATTCGCGTCATGAAAGCCATCTAAAGCAGCCCAATCCATGTCTGAAATTAAATTATATAATTGGGGGAAGTTGGCTTTGCGGTAATTATAAGAATTTATAAATGAAACAGGAAAGTTATGCTTAGTATTGAGACTGCTGCTGACATTACAAAAAATATTCAGGGCAGGGTGATATGGGTCTTCATCTAGCAGCGGATCCCACGAATGTTCAACCTCACACAGACCACTACAGAAAACTAAATCAAGGGTATTGTCCATAGAATTTGAAATATTGTTAAACTGATTAATAGCAAGACCCTCAGCAAAGTTGTTCAACGATACCAATTTTGCGTTGCGTCCATGACTATTAGCATAAGAAGTGTAGTTAGCTATGTTGAAATCCCCTGTTATAAGTAAATTCCTATCAAATAGGACGTGCGATGACAAGATAGCATCATAAAATTGCTCATATTCAGCATTGGGCTTATCAGGTGGTATGTAGACATTGCAAATGTAAACTGAAAAAGAGTTGGTACAAACCTTGACTGCTACTACATCAATCTTTAGGGCAGAAAGTACTGCCAACTCAGGTATCTCTATCAAAGATGCTGTAAAACGCTCATCAATCGCAATCAACACACCACCACCTCTTGAGCAACCAGTGGTTACATAATCTCGATCTGTCCGGAAAACATTATATGTAGTTGGAATAAATTCACTACTCATACATGAGAAATCTAACCAGGTTTCAGTTATTGCAATGATAGGATATTCACACCTACAAATAGCATTATAAAAAACAGCAGCTTTCGTTCGGAGTCCACGAACATTTTGGTAGTATATTAGAGGTTGCAGCCTATCACTACAATTAGAATCTACTCCCTTGTGAGTCACGACGAAGGGATGCATTGGTTGCTACTGACTGAGTAGGTCGTGTCTTAATCTATCAAGGGCTTCATTGTATGCCTTGCATTTCTGCTTATCCCAAACAGCATGATCCGTTTGCACACTACCATCTTTCTGTTTAAGTTTCATACAGTTTGAGCATTTACGAGTCTGTGATTTGCAATGTTTGACCTCATGATTCTCGCTACAGAGTGGGCAAACAACTGCGCTTTTACATTTGCTAGAAGAATGATGGAATTCATTACATTTAAAGCAACGATACACATCAATAGCATCGTAAACAGTGCAATTGTCATATCCCACAAACAAGTAACCAGCTTTAACAATTTTGTCATAACTACTCCTATCCACCTGAACAATAGCTTGATATACAGAAGGGTCTTTTTTAGTAGGAAAGTGCTTAACAATTTTACATTCAAAATCATCTTCGAAGATATCAGTATTTCCTTTTAATAACAAGTGCCATAATTTATCATCTGAATATTTATCTGACATGCCGACTAGCCGAAACCGCGGGTTAATACCGGTAATTTCACGTATCACATAACTATCTGACAACTTTTCCTGAACAATAGCTTTCAACTTCTGATTTTCTTCCTTTGACTTACAGCCAATAAGAATACCACCATCCCTAACATCCTTCACTTTCGCTAACTGAACTTCCGCAGTACAAGGATTCACATGCTGTATTAGATCAGCTTTGGTTTGCTTGCTTTGATGATTCCCATTTTTTGGCTGAATAATTAATGCTGGCTGGGTCTTATTTCTAACGACCTCGGCATAGGATACTACAGGCTTGTTGACAGAAGGTACTGCATGAGATGATTTCATAGATCTTGATATATCAGCAGATAATTTCGTGACTTGATTCTTGAAAGAAGCCATGGCCTCGTCAATTTTGCCACTCAGTAGATTCTTAACATCATCCTGGTTTATTACAATGCAGTTAGGAATGCAGTTCTTACATCTCCAAAACAACCCAGGAACAGTACTTATGACGCCCAGTATATCTGTGTTTGAGATACACAAAGAATGAAACTGCTTTTTACATGCGTCGCAAGAAATAGGTGGCCTTGACCGAGTTACCAATGTTTGGCAAATTTCACAGTTGACCATGATGCAAATTAATAGAAACTGATAGACTTACATATGCTATCTGGTCACCTCAATCAAATGTTATCTATGAACACCTCTTGCATCACTTACGAAAAAAACTGATAATTAATGTCCAGTATTTATCACACAAACTAAGAAATTCGAGAGATAGTATACAACACCAACCGGCCGAGCTCCAAGTCAGTTAGCCATGTGATATCCACCATCTACCCCGGAAGATATGAAGGAAAGGATTAAGGATGCTTTTCGGAACATAAAGGAATACATGCTGGGGGATGAGCAACTGCCATCTATCCAAAGACTACGGCTCTGTATTCAACATGACGGAGATATTTTCGAGCAGTATTTGTAGTCTTGAGTAGTGATAGTTTGATTGTTTATGTTGTTGTTATAGTTGTTTTTCTCTATTACGCTTGAAGCTGAGTTATACTGTTCTGATTGTTATTAGTTCTTACGTCAAATCTGTACTCTTAGTGGCAATATGGAACTAGCCCACTGTTTGTCTTTTATTTCCATGGATGATGTGATTTTTTTCCTTAATTTTGGTGTGTTGTTCTATTAAAAGCTTAATACCTCAAAATCTAGTGATTTTATCTGAATCAAACCTCATACCAAAAAAAAAGCTTATAAACAATTGAATCCAAACTTGTACAAATATATAGGGTGATGCATTTGAAATTTTCGAGAGAAAGTACAATTCGCGTTTTTGACTACCCTGTATGAGCAAACATGAAAATTCGAAAAAGTGACAAATAAGATAAAAGCTGAGGTGTGTAATTTTTTTTTTGATACAAAATTCCGCACTGCAAATTTCAAAATGGCGGATTGAGTGGTCGCCGAAGTGGACGGTTTTCCTGGACAAAACACCTTACATCTCAGTAGCTAATTACCAAAACCCCATAGTATGTTATATCAATCTTCTTATTTTGAATTGGTTCATCCGAATATGCAATAAAATTTGAGGCATTCCATTAAAAAAAACACAGCTTTGAAATGTAGGTCAAAATTGGGACACCCAATATTTGAGAAATGTGCCCTCAAATGTCATGTATAACGTACCATAAATAGATTTTCCCAAAAAGTATTTGTTTATGAGTAATATTCCGTTCACACACGGATGGGCCACCCTGTACAGAGTGTTGGGGCTGTGTGTATACACTTTAAGAGTTGATCGGACATTTTTTTGTTATTATAATAATGAGGAGCGGGTAGTAAGAAGCAACAGAGGCAAATTTTCCTAACACATACAGGGTGTCCTGAAAGTGGACTTTGCTTTTCATATCCAACTTCGTTTACAAAGCTGATTTGCAGAAGAAAAGTATTTACTATTCATTTCGTTAGGAACTTCAAGTACTGCCCTGTGGCATGTTTTGTTTGAAAACAGTAAAAGTTGTCGCTGCTCGATTCAAAAACACTAGTCTGTCTACCTCTTCCTAAATTTGCAACATTTCGGGCTGTCTATGTCTTCAGGTGTGTACAACCAGACGTCTATTGCACGATACTAAAAACTTCGTGCAAAATCTAAAAATTAAAAAAAAAATGCGGTTGCTATTTAAAAATGTAATACCTTATTTTTAGATCACCCTGTATTGTACGGCTATATTTAAAATATAATTTTATTAATTCCAAATTGAATGGACAACAGGTAAGGACGCGCTCGTTTTGTACGTAATAACCCAATTTATAGTTCTAGACGTACCCCGACGAACAAAAAGAACGACACCCACAGAGAAAGAACAATCGTGAGAACAAGCGGGGTCGTCTTCTTCTCTTCTCTCTTCTTCTTCATATCGACCCGAGTCATGTCCATTCCTCTCGCTTAGGCCGTTTCCTCTACATATATTTTTAAGTTCACCAGACCGTGTGATATAGCCTCATCCGCATCCTAGCTGGTAACTAAGGCGGCTGGCCATGGCCTTCTATAAATATTGATAAGGCGTAGGGAGATCTTGGATTTATGTATGGTCCGTCGAGCTGGTGATGTAGTTCGCTTCTGCAGTTTCAGGACTGTACACACTTTACTGCTGTGGAATACGGGAGCGGCGGAGCTTGCGGTGTTGCCATTTTATGAAAGTATCCCTTTCTTGGTTAAAATATTACAAATTGTTCTTCAAGTAAACAAAATGTCCATGAGGATGACGTAGTCTAGCTTCAGATTGTTCTCAACCGTCAAATAAAAATACAATTGCATATAAAATACAGGGTGACTTTGAAGTTGAGTCATTAATTTTCAGATAATGATTGTAGAAGGAAGCTAAACTAAAATATGTGTGTAAAAATAAAAAAAAATTAAAAAAAAGATTACCTTGTTTTATAAAGTATCCTCCCGATAAGTATTTCAGTGCGGACCTGTATTTGATCGTGAGGTCTTGGAGCACCGGCATGCCGTCCCCTGTGAGGTCTTAAGTCACCTGATTCACGAGCCCGTTGTACTACATTAACAAAGGCACGAGGGGTTGGTTGCACTCGATTGGGAAACCGATCCGCATAAACATGTGCCATTTTTGATTTCGTTTGAGCCACGCAACACACACCACTATTCACTCACGCGTTACCGACTGACACTGACTGTATACAACTGAATGAAATAATTGTAAAAACATCGTTCCAAATTCTTTCACTTTTTTGTTTCCGATGCGATGAACCGATAAGGCGGATTATATCCGTTGTTGCCAAACACGAGCACATAATATTATTATTGAGACAGGGCGGTACTCAAACTTCCAAAGCGCTATAACTTTGTTACTTTAATTTTACCAGAAAAATGGTGAAGGAAAAAAACATTTCTTTTGATCAGATCTACTAACTGTTAAAATAAATGACTCAACTTCGAAGTCACCCTGTATATACAAGAAGGCATTGCAGTTGTGCATGTTGGTAGTGAAAATGGTTTCCTGGAAAATGTATATCTGAAATTTGAATCCAATAGTAAGTCGGATGATTATCACAGTGAGATCAACTATAGTACTATAACTATAAAAAATGGCTTCTGGTTAAACTGATTCCCAACCTACCACCAAATAGTGTTTTGGTTATAGGCAACGCTCCGTACCACAATGTTCAGATAGAAAAATGTCCCACTATGTGCTCTAAGAAGGATCATATGAAATAATTGTATAGCCTTATCAAAATGCATAAGCCGGCATATACTATATAACTTATGAAATAGACAGAATAATGGCTGAAAAAGGTCATTCTGTTTTGAGGTTGCCACCATATCCCCCGACTTGAACCCAATTGAGTTGGTATGGGCATCTTTAAAACAATATGTGGCTGACAGAAATGTAGATTTTAATCTCAAGAACTTTGCGACGACTGTTTCTCGTCTAATCTCACAGAAGAATGGAAAAAAAGATGTTTTGTATTGTACGTGCCATCTCTTCTGCTCCGAATGCGTTCTCCCTCTCTCGCGTGCGCAATCCCAGCAAATCCTCGTATCTCCTCCTACACTTGACGAGCTGTACGTCGTTTTTACTTTTCTGTGAGTTCTGGCAACACGCTGCCTATGGTTAGATCAAGATAAGATCGCAGATGCAAGAGACGGATGCTGGGGACCTTGGATGAATACCAAAGTGACACTGCGATGATGATCGTAGAAGGCTGCGATACTGGCACCTTCCTTTTCACCGCCGAACGTTAACGCGACGCGAGAAGAGCGGCAAACGTGTCCTGTGCCAAGGAGATCTCTCAGAAGAACAATGGTATCTTCTTCCTTTTGGGTCCCATGGCACTTTGTCACAGTTTGTTTTTCTTTGTGGTGATGGGCATCAGATAACGCGATAATTTGGATAATCGAATGATTCTTCGAAGTTATTATCAAGATTTCATTTCAATTAATCACAGTTTACTGTTAAATATTTTAGACAGATTAGGTTTTCGTGAGAAAATGGAAAGTTATTTATCCCTAAGTAGTAAAACTATCAAAATCATACAGCAAGGAAATGTTTGTCAAAAGTCAAGCATTTAAACGAGAAAAAAACACCTTTTTTCCATATAGCTACTAATTACTACTAATTTGCGAAGTAAATAACCTAATACTTAAACTTATTTTCTATATAGAGGAAATAAGTTCTTAACCCAGTCTTACATGCCTTGTTTAAACTGTTTTGTCGTACATGACAGTCGCAATGATTATTTATTCGATCTGGTCCATCTCTACCAGATTTCATTTCGGCCTCTTGTTTTTTCTCAGAATCGGTGTATCGACAGCCAAGCAGAGATCAAGGTCAACAATAGTTAATTACCACATCTTCGGTTGTTGAGGATTCGTTGTACAATGCCGGAAATGCTTGAGATCGAATTCTTAGAAACGGGGATCTGCTGCTCAAGAAGAATTAGAACCATTGGAAAAAACCACAATAGTAAGGATAGAAAATATGTACCAGCAGGGTATCTCAGTATCACAAATTGTTATCGGGAGCGTTACTGTGATAAAAGATCGCAACCTCACATACTGCAGTTTCATTTATTGGAAATATGTAGGAAAACGGCTTAGAGATATAAGTACATATGTGAGGTGTTGCTTCACAGATCATTATCTTTAAGATCTAGACAACGCAGCTCTACAAATAATAAAGGTCGTGATGCGTGACACAGACCATGATGTTTATGTATTTTTCGACGCCAAATCCTATCACGGGTTATAAAGGTTCCAAGACGTCCTCGGGCCCAATAACTACCCCTGCTGCTGAAGCATGATATTCCCATGGATTTTTCGACGCTGCCTCCAAGTTGTGATCGAAAAGTTTTCTATATCCCTAAAGTTCACCCCCTGGCCTCAACATTCAATTGTCACCCCTCATAGGGACAGTTTTTGCGTCCAAGGGTGAACTCTAGGGGTGTCTTTTCGATCACAAATTCAAATGCAACGTCGAAAAACGTATAGGAATACTGTAGCATCTCGCATCCGAAACTCAATTTTCATGCTTTCTAAGGGTAGTTTTTGGGCCCAGGGGTGAACTCTAGACGCCTAGGAACTTTTCTGTCTTACGGGTCCCATCCTTTATCTTCTTTGTGGGGCTGTGTAATGCTTTCAACTAGCAAGGAACGCTTCGGCAACATTGCTGTGCTGGGAGGAAAGGAAATAATTATAATTAGAATGATACAGCCGCTTCAGCCACAGATGCAGCCGCCGTCGTGGCACGCGTTCAATCAGCCTCTGCTGGACATCTGCCATTGGCCCAGTAAATTTAGAGAATTACAAAAAAATATATAAAGAAACTTGTATTCGAACTCCGGAGAAAATGTTTCATTCCATTTTTTGAAGTAGTACACTAAAATAACCAGTTTTCATCCTAATCTATTTGTTCATTGATGAGTTCTAAAAAAAACTTTTTTGGCATCTTATGAAAGCTTAACTAGATTTTATACTGAAAAAAACCCTTTCCCTACTTCTTTAAATAAGCAGGAAGTCCCCATTAATTATTACATGCTTGGCAGAAATTCATCCCTTTAGATAGTCTAGTTTTGATAGCACATTCAGTCGTTATGTCCTTTAAGTTTCTGATTGCGAACTTGAAGTCAAAACCGTTCAGTTCAAACTCGGGAAAAGGTCCCTGTACCCCTAGAGCTTAACCTCGGGTACAAAAGCTACCCCTAGGAGGGGTGAGAATCGAACCAGTCGTTCCTTGAAGTTTGAATAATGCTTGTCAGAAATTCGTCCCTTTGGAGAGACTGGTTTTAATAGCACATTCAGTCGTGATGCCTTTTAAACTTCTGATTGCAAACTTGGAGTCGAAACCATACAGTTCAAATACGAGATCCTCTCCTAAGTCGTCTAGAATTTACCTCCGGGCCTAAAAACTACCCATAAGGGCTGAAAAAATTGAGTTTTGGATTCCAGATGCTGGAGCATGGTATCCACATTTATTTGTCAATGAATATGAATTTGCGATCGAAAAGATTCCTACACCTTTACAGTTTATCCCCGTGTGCAAAACTTTCCATAGAAGGGATGAAAGCTGACTTTTCTGCCAAACGCTGGAGAAAAGTATTCCAAGTGTTTTCCGACGCTAATTCCGAATTTGTGGTCAAAAATATCCCTCCATCCCTAGAGTTCACCCTCGGGTGTAAATACTACCCATAGGAGGGGTGAAAATTGAGTTTTGGATGCCAGACGCTGGAGCGTGGTATTCCCAAGTATTTTTCGCCTCTGATTCTGAATTTTTCGTCGAAAAGATCTCTTCACCCCTAGAGTCCTCCCTCGAGTAAAAAAACTCCTAGGAGGGGTGAAAATCGAACAATTCATTCCTTAAAGTTTAACTAGACACTTTGTATAATGCTTGGCAGAAATTTGTTCCCTTGATGACACATTCAGTCTGATTGCAAATTAGAAGTCACAACCATACAGTTCAAACTCTCGAATTATTACAGTCCCAGAAAAAAATAAGACTCGAGATCCGTGAGACATATCATGATATTCCTAAGTGATCAAAAAGTTTCCTACACCTCTACAGTTTATCTCCTGACCCAAAAGCATCCCTAGGATGGATGAAAAATGACTTTTGAATGGCAGACGCTTGGAGTTCACCCCCAGGCCCAAAAACTAACCCTAGGAGGGGTCAACATTGAGTTTTGGATGCCAGACACTGGAGCATGGCATTCTCAAGTAGTTTCCGACTTTGATTCTGAATTTGTTATCGTAAAGATTCCTCCACCTATACAGTTTATAACCGGATCCAAAAACTACCCCTAGGAGGGGTGAATATTGAGTTTTGGATGTCAGAGACTGGAGCATGGCATTCCCAAGTATTTTTCGACGCTGATTCTGAATTTGTTATCGAAAAGATTCCTACACCTATACAGTTTATCCCCGGGTCCAAAAACTACCCTTAGCAAAGAATAAAATTGAGTTAAGGATGCCAAACAATGGAGCGTGGTACTCCTAAGTATTTTTCGACCCTGATTCTGAATTTCTGGTCGAAAAGATGCCTGCACGCTTGCAGTTCACCTCCAGGCGTAAAAACTAACCCCAGGAGGGGTGAATATTGAGTTTTGGATGCCAGACACTGGAGCATGGCATTCCCAAGTCGTTTCCGACTTTGATTCTGAATTTGTTATCGAAAAGATTCCTCCGCCTATACAGTTTATCCCCGGGTCCAAAAACTACCCCTAACAAGGAAGAAAATTGAGTTAATTATGCCAAACGCTGGAGCGTGGTATTCCCAAGTATTTTTCGTCGACGATTCTGAATTTGTGGTCGAAAAGATGCCTGCACCTTGCAGTTCACCTCCAGGCGTAAAAACTAACCCCAGGAGGGGTGAATATTGAGTTTTGGATGCCAGACACTGGAGCATGGCATTCCCAAGTATTTTCCGACTTTGATTCTGAATTTGTTATCGAAAAGATTCCTCCACCTATACAGTTTATCCCCGGGTCCAAAAACTACCCCTAGCAAGGAAGAAAATTGTGTTAAGGATGCCAGACGCTGGAGTACGGTACTCCCAAGTATTTTTCGACGCTGATTCTGAATTTCTGGTCGAAAAGATGCCTGCACGCTTGCAGTTCACCTCCAGGCATAAAAACTAACCCCAGGAGGGGTGAATATTGAGTTAAGGATGCCAGACGCTGGAGCACGGTATTCCCAAGTATGTTTTGACGCTGATTCTGAATGTGTGGTCGAAAAGATGCCTGCATGCTTGGAGTTCACCCCCAGGCCCAAAAACTAACCCTAGGAGGGGTGAATATTGAGTTTTGGATGCCAGAGACTGGAGCATGGTATTCCCAAGTATTTTCTGACTTTGATTCTGAATTTGTTATCGAAAATATTCCTACACCTATACAGTTTATCCCCGGGTCCAAAAACTACCCCTAGCAAGGAAGAAAATTGAGTTACGGATGCCAGACGCTGGAGTGTGGTACTTCCAAGTATTTTTTGATGCTAATTCTGAATTTGTGGTCGAAAAGATGCCTGCACGCTTGCAGTTCACCTCCAGGCGTAAAAACTAACCCCAGGAGTGGTGAATATTGAGTTTTGGATGCCAGACACTGGAGCATGGCATTCCCAAGTCGTTTCCGACTTTGATTCTGAATTTGTTATCGAAAAGATTCCTCCACCTATACAGTTTATCCCCGGGTCCAAAAACTACCACTAGCGAGGAAGAAAATTGTGTTAAGGATGCCAGACGCTGGAGTACGGTACTCCCAAGTATTTTTCGACGCTGATTCTGAATTTCTGGTCGAAAAGATGCCTGCACGCTTGCAGTTCACCTCCAGGCGTAAAAACTAACCCCAGGAGGGGTGAATATTGAGTTACGGATGCCAGACGCTGGAGCACGGTATGCCCAAGTAGTTTCCGACTTTGATTCTGAATTTGTTATCGAAAAGATTCCTACACCTATACAGTTTATCCCCGGGTCCAAAAACTAGCCCTAGCAAGGAAGAAAATTGAGTTAAGGATGCCAAACGCCGGAGCGTGGTATTCCCAAGTATTTTTTGACGCTGATTCTGAATTTCTGGTCGAAAAGATGCCTGCACGCTTGCAGTTCACCCCAGGCCCAAAAACTAACCCTAGGAGGGGTGAATATTGAGTTTTGGATGCCAGACGCTGGAGCATGGCATTCCCAAGTATTTTTTGACGCTGATTCTGAATTTGTTATCGAAAATATTCCTACACCTATACAGTTTATCCCCGGGTCCAAAAACTACCCCTAGCAAGGAAGAAAATTGAGTTAAGGATGCCAGACGCTGGAGTGTGGTACTTCCAAGTATTTTTTGATGCTAATTCTGAATTTGTAGTCGAAAAGATGCCTGCATGCTTGGAGTTCACCCCCAGGCCCAAAAACTAACCCTAGGAGAGGTGAATATTGAGTTTTGGATGCCAGAGACTGGAGCATGGCATTCCCAAGTATTTTTCATTTCATTTATTCTGAATTTGTTATCGAAAAGATTCCTACACCTACACAGTTTATCCCCGGGTCCAAAAACTACCCCTAGCCAGGAAGAAAATAGGGTTAAGGATGCCATACGCTGGAGCACGGTATTCCCAAGTATTTTTCGACGCTGATTCTGAATTTGTGGTCGAAAAGTTGCCTGCACGCTTGCAGTTCACCACCAGGCCCAAAAACTAACCCTAGGAGGGGTGAATATTGAACTTTGGATGCCAGACACTGGAGCATGGCATTCCCAAGTAGTTTCCGACGCTGATTCTGAATTTGTTATCGAAAAGATTCCTACACCTATACAGTTTATCCCCGGGTCCAAAAACTACCCCTAGCAAGAAAGAAAATTGAGTTAAGGATGCCAAACGCTGGAGCGTGGTACTCCCAAGTATTTTTTGACGCTGATTCTGAATGTGTGGTCGAAAAGATGCCTGCATGCTTGGAGTTCACCCCCAAGCCCAAAAACTAACCCTAGGAGGGGTGAATATTGAGTTTTGGATGCCAGACGCTGGAGCGTGGTATTCCCAAGTATTTTTCGACGCTGATTCTGAATTTGTGGTCGAAAAGATGCCTGCACGCTTGCAGTTCACTTCCAGGCGTAAAAACTAACCGCAGGAGGGGTGGATATTGAGTTTTGGATGCCAGACACTGGAGCATGGCATTCCCAAGTATTTTCCGACTTTGATTCTGAATTTATTATCGAAAAGATTCCTCCACCTATACAGTTTATCCCCGGGTCCAAAAACTACCCCTTAGAGGGGTGAAAATTGACTTTCGGATGCCAGATACTCAATCACGGTGTTCCTATGCATTCTGCAATGCTGATTCGGAATTTGAGATGGACAAAAATTCCAAACGTTGTGTAATATGTCTTTTCAGCGCTATAATTTTCCTGTACGATACTGATGGTCGCGATGGCCACGGCAGTCGCCACACATCAGCCGCCTCGATCCTTTTTATCGATTTCCCGATTACAAAAGGTGCGCGTTGGACGATGCTACCACAGAGCACTCCGGCGACTAGATGACTTTCGATTTTTTAGTCAAGCGGTTATTCAATTTTCCCGACAAGGTGGTGATTTTTGGACGGCAGCTGATGCGCGTTTACATTGATTCTCCATGCTACCAGATATTCATTAATATTTTTATGAGGGGTCAGCTACTTAACGCTGACGTTTACGATATTTCGT